TAAGGTTCTTAATAAGGTTAATCCATTCTGACCCCTACGAACGTCACCAACCGATTTTGGTCGCCAACCGAATCAAATTTTCCCATAAGGTTCTTAATAAGGTTAATCCATTCTGAACCATATGTATTTTTTTTTACCACAAAAATATGAAACAAAGTACAGTACAATACAGTATAAAGAGAGAGAACAGTAACCTTGCTTGAGGCGACACCAAAAAGCTTCACAGCAAGTGTCTGTCTGCGACCGCGATCTCACCTAGAGGAAGCCACGACCACGTGTCAGAGCAGGGAAGAGGGCCGCAGGTCGTGTGTCGTCACCTGATGCGGAGTTCGCAAACGGAAGCAAAAATGTGCAAATGCTGCTGTTCACGAACCGAATTGTTTGTGAACAAAAGCGTTCATGAATCGAGGTATTACTGTATTTCTTAATTTAGAATAAAGTCCAAAGGAAGCAGAGCGGGGGAATCCGTACTTGCTGAAAAAGCTAAAACAGAAAAGTTAGGGTACCACTTCAGTGGTCTTCAAACTGAAATGTTTAAGCAACAGGAATTTTATTATAGTATTTCGAGATGGAGTTTCTGGTACTTCTTCAAATGATGAAGGGCACTCAGATTTTCTCAGCATTATATGGATGTCTCTTTTTACTTTTTCATTTTGAGTCTTTTCAGTTGTCACATTTATTCTGATTCTTCTTGCTTGGGTATATTTCATCCTTCACCCCCCCTTTTTTGGGGGGTCTTTTGTACTTTTAGAGAGAGAGAGAGAGAGAGAGAGTTAAGGGCTTGATGCTATATTTGCTCTGCTATATTACCTGCAGAATAGGACTGATCAGGACTGTATCTCCTATTTCCATATGCTATTTATGGACTATAATTAGAAGTTATTATTAGAATATATGTTATTCTGGGGCTAAAGAGTTCCTTTTAATATAATACTTTAAATACTTTACAGTCCTATTTAAATTTAATGTTTTTAATTTAATTCTTAGATTCTTATTTTAAAAAATCACTGTGTAAAACTCAAAAGGTTTCTACAATGAAATTTTGGTATCAGTAGTCTTATTTTTGGCTATATGATGACTCTATGGACAATATTAAGGAAAATGAAATTGTTTTCTCCATGTACCTACTTAACATTTGAGTTGAGTTACTGTTTGTCCATTTGTTTTCTATGTGGGTGCCCCATTGTCAATGAAAATAATGCGTCCTGCTATCAATTGATAGTACATAAATCACTGGTGAATGTGCAGGAAAATGAGCTCTTGGCAATATAGCTGATGCCATTTTTATTCCACTCCTTAGTGAATAACCTCTCATAGTGTCTTACATAAAAATAAACACTATTTCCTGCTTGGAGGCTTGCAGTCTAAAATACAAGAAAAAAGGATGAGAAGGGAAATCTAAAGGAGACAGCTTAACCAATGGTTATGGTTAGAATCAGAGATATTGTAGGGAACACTTTATTAATGTACAGTGCTGAAATGGGGTTGGTACTACAGGTTTGATTCCTTTATCTATACTGTATCTGACTCCCCCATTGCTATTCCTAAGTAACAGAATTAAAAAAAAAAAAAAGTAACAGAACCAGAATGACCCTCTAGTTAAATAAGGTCAAATTCTGGCTCTCACCCTCAGCTACTTGAAATGATCAGCTTTCTATAAATGGTTGAAAGTATCTTAATCTATATTGAAAAGGTTTTAGCCTTGGAGTTGTATACATTAACTGTATAGTTATATACTCTGTTAGTTCTGTATTCTATTCATTCTGTTCATGGGGCCCTGGCCAAACAATTTTGATCAATGCAGTGGGCTCTAAAAAGACCTTTCAGAACAGGAACACTGCCTCAGTGGAGCAAAATGACTGGGGCATAGGCATAAAGGTAGTAGTTGTTGCTATTAATAGATTACTGGAGAATATGCCTTTTAGACTGCTATAGCTAAGACAATGCAAAATTTGAGGGCACTTGAAGACATCAACAAATTTATTATGGCGTATGTTTCTCAGACCAACAGTCTACTTTATCAGATGAGTATCTGTTGGCATTAAATTGTCATAGCAGAATGAAGATTGTATATTTTCATAGGATGGAAAACCTATTATATGCCTTCCCCATTGATGTGTCTTCAGGAGTGTTGAGTAACAACTTCCATTCCTGCCAGAGTGCAAAATGAAGATTGGAGAAAAGGATGTCTTAGTGCTGTTTAATTTACAGAACAAATTGGAAATATTGAACTAACAGCATATTCTTTTTATCCTCATTTCCCTTTAAGGCAAGAAATTTTAAAATGGAATGGATGGGGATACAATGACTCAAAATTCATTTTCAATAAGAAGGGGCAAGGAGAATTCACTGGAAAAAGGTAACAACCATAGAGACAGTAAGATTTATGATTTCTTTTCTTTTTGGAAAAATAACTGCACTGAATTATGGCATATATTAATAAATGGGTACTGTATTGAAAGCCAAGAGATTTGATCTTATTATGCATCCATGTTGTATTCTCTGTGGCACAAACAACTCCCCTCTTTTCCAGTGTGAATAAGCAATAGCAATTCTATTATATTCTGCTTTTATCAAACATTTCAGCTGCAACCTGCCACATACATAGTCACAGACAGATGTGGTTGATTTGCTGTGGCATATCTGGAGTAGCCTTTCTTTTTGTTAGGAAGTAATTACATTTAGAGTTTATTTACTGTTGGGCTAGATTGGGGCATATGCCATTTCCTTCCGCACAATAATCTAAACCTGTTTTAGAGATTATCAGATTCCACAGATAATTTTGAGCTTGATTGTATGCTTGCAGACATTTCATTACCCAACTAGGTAACATCATCAGTGTGAGTGAGTATGGGGTTTGCTCCTTGTTTATATTTCCACAGTTCAACCCTGAGTCCACAGTTCAGCCCTAAGCTACATATATTCTCTTGCATTAAAATGATCTAAACCAACTTTATCAAATTCTGTGATAATCAGTAATCTAAAAGTGCTAACACAATTATGCATTATATAAAGAAATACTTTTCATTTATATCTCCTGAATTTTCCAGCTGTTATTGCCATAGAGTGAACCAGGGATCTAGTATGAGATAGAGAAAGCTATTTCTCTTCTTTTTTACAGGGTGCATATTTTTTATAAGTTTTGTATTGTTTCTGAATTAAGATTTTAACCCTTATCTACTTGTTGGCTTTGTCATCTCCTTTTGGAAAAGAGATAGCAAAAATCATTTATACATTTGGCTGTTCCAAAGACATGTACTTTAAAAAATCTGATTCAGATGTTCTTGTTTTCAGGAAATAAACATTCCCTTTTTTGTGAACTTGTAACCAGTTAATTTAATAAGTTGCAGTTTTCTAAAGTAATAATGTAATAGATAATTTCATAACCCTCTGCTATGTTTTCAATAAGCATGTATGCTTGATTTTTTGCAGTATTTTAAATGTATTTTAATTTTGATAATATTTTATTTCAATCCCATTCCTAACATTGAGATTACCTCTTATCAGTTATAGCAAGCGTGTGGAGGCCCAAGGACCTTTTCTGCATATACAGGTAGTCCTTGTTTAGCGACTGCCTCATTTAGCAACCGTTCACAGTTATGACAGTGATGGAAAAGTAACTTTGCAACCAATCCTTGCATTTATGACCTTTGCAGGTCTGTAAAGCAAAGGAAAGGTGAAGTAAGATCATAAGAACAGTTGCAATTTCACTTAGTGACCATTTCTCTTAATAACTGAATTGTCGGTCCAATTGTGGTCACTAAACAAGGACTACCTGTAACTGGTTTTGTCCTAGTGTGCATCACTGATGCTAATACTAAATTTCATTACTGATCCCTTCCATTGCCAAAGCTATTCATAATCTGTTTCCATGCTTTGATCAGCTGTAATCAGTATGAGGATTTATCTTATACCTTGCTTAACATGCAGTGGAATACTTTATCTAAACTTAAAAATTACGTGGCTGTTATCTCTATATTTGACCATGATAGAATTCTGAAAGTTTTCTGAGTTGAAGTTCTTGTTACAGAAATCATATCAATACTTCTTTGCAAGGTTACTTCTTCATGCTTAAAGTTTCAGATGTTAAATTTCTAATCAGTTTGTTATGACTGATATTTTAAGATCTCCATCCTCCCAGATTCTCAGCCTCCTACTTCTAGAAATTTTATGCCCACTGCTTGTGTATATCTAAATAAAGAAATTAGCATCAGGTTTTCACTAGTTTCACTCTAGAAGGAACTGATGAAAATGCTTTTGGATTCAGGTACCGGATAGGCGGACTGATATTCCCACTTTTGAAAGACTGGGTAGAGAAAAATCTTGGTGGAAGTCTGGAACATAAAACTACTCCTAAAGTAAGTGAATACATTGGCTGTTTTTTAATCGTTAACCTATTTTAAGTTCTTTATATACAGTTTAGTTAAAACATAAAGCTGCTTTACATTAATCTTGTCCATTGACCTTTGCAAGTCTCACATAAAATTTTTTCCCAGCCTTATTGCCAGTATGCCATCTTGTCATGAGGATCTGTAATTGAAAATAGTCTGATACATCCAAAATTTCTTAAGCACAAATTGTTTATTTTTACAAGCTTTATAACTTCTGCTTTCATATATTGATAGATTGCTGATTTTAAATTGTTGCAATATTTCAAGATGTCAGTTTTAAAAAACTGTAGTGTTCATTCTTCTGTCTCTGGTGGTCTGTGGATAGAAGTGTGGTATAAAAATATCAAGGGCTGCATCACATGTAGATTTCTGCTTGTTTAACATACACTTCAGTCGTTCATTATTCCTCTACATCTACCTGAGGTCTGCTCCAGAGACTCCTCCAGAAGATTTTGTGTGAGTGTGATGAGCTGATAAATGAGGAGGAAGAAATTGATTTGCTAGAAGAGAGGTTGGTGGCAAAAGGGTGGGAATGGCGTTTCCTATAGCAGATTTGAAAATGATGCTCTTCTGAGGTGGCTCATTTTTTTCTGAACAGATACACTGGAAATTATCTTCTTCTTTTTTTTAATTTTGAAGGCATCCTTAAATATCAGTGATGTACCTCCCTCCATTGCAAGTGAAGAATTTCTCCAGGACCTCCAAAATGCTAAAATTTCATATACACAGGAAGCAGAATCTAGATTATTTAGAGCCCATGGTAAGCAAAATCAGCATGCACACAATAACATCTTAATTGTTTGCTTTCAACATTTGATGTATTTATAAGACTTGTTTTTACTTTGCGCTTCAGGTCATTGCCTACATGAGATTTTTTTGCTCAGGGAAGGAATGTTTAAGCGGGTTCCTGATGTAGTGGTATGGCCAGGTAAGCTATTGAGAATATTTTTCACATCTTAAAATACTTCCCTGTTGCATTTCCTACTGAACTTATGTAGTAATATTTTCAATTTTGGAAAAATTGGAATTGAGAAAAAATTTATAAAAGCCTCAGAATACAAAATATCTACTGGATATGTAGTCCAGAAATGCAGTTTGGGGATCTGCCAAGAAAGTTGTTTATGTTGCACGTTGGTTAGGACTGTGATAAAAACACAGCCTCTATTTCCACTTGACACTTGTTTTCATTTCTTCCAAAGTGAAGGGAAGAGGCAAAATTTAGAATGCACAGGGTACCAAAGAACAAAAATATATAAAATAATAAAATGTTGTTTCAATATGTACAAAACTTAAATTTTTCTGAAGGTCAAATGCAAGTCTTAAATTGGTAGCTTTAGAACATTATTTTCAGACAATTAATTCCTATTAAACAAATGAGTTATAATATTTTCTGAAATGCATAAACATGCCTTACTTTTTAGACAGCATTACATTAATTCAAGATGGGCTGCTTTTATTTACCAAGCTTCTCAGTGCGACATTTTCAGTTGATGCACAAAGCTGTCCAGATGCCAGGGTGTGCAAATTCCACATAATAATGAGGGGAGTGGCACATGTTATGCCTTTTCTTCAAAAAGCATGTTGCCATTATATGATTATCTTGGCTATTGAGTGACATTGCAGTGTCTGAAATAATGGGCAAAACTTATAGGAACTTATTTCTTGGTGTGTAGGCCAAGAGTTGTGATTCTTTAACATTATATGAGAATAGACAATCACCTCATCTAAATACTATGATTATGAAACTAATTCAAGCTCCAGTTACTAGCTCTTCCTATGATAGATTGTTTAATTACAAGGAAATTAGTTTTTCTTAGCGTTTTATGTATAATTTAATCTGCATGATTAAATAAATATTGCCCCTGGCGTAACTAAAATACCTAAGCCCCATTGAAGCTAATGAAGTAAACTCTAATTTTAAAGGAAAGGTTGTAACCATGAAATCAATCGGGGGTTTCCAGTGCCTGAAAAAAGTTGCTGACCACTGGATAGCATGAAGCAAAGCTACCATTAAACACATTTGATAATGTGCAAACTGCTGCCATGAAATTGTTAGTGACCATAGTCAGTTGGAATGTATTATCAGAGCTATACTAGTTGCCTTTAAAAAAAGGATTCTGTGCAGGCCTGAGTAACTTAGAACCACTTCAGCCTCAAGTCTGCTGGGTAGTCCCTCCCTGAAACTTGGCCTGTGTCCTAGCAGGAGGGAGTTCGCATTTCAGACTTTGTTGGAAGCCTCCCCAGAAGACTTATCAAGCTCTGCCTCTTTAGATATTAAGTGTCAAGTATCTTTCAAGACCTTTGGACTTGACTGGGTTTTTTTGTTTTTCCCTTTTTTTTGGGGGGGGGAGTTCTGTTGAATCTGCAACTTGATATTTGAATTGTAACAATCAATTTTGCTGTATTGAGATTAGTTAATTCAAGCTACTTTGATTTCATTAATTTATTTTTAAACAACACACACATTTTAAAATGTATATAGTTTGGGATCAAAACTGTTTTTTTTTAAATGAGGCTAACATCCCATTTTCTCCCATACCTAATGCTTATTTTGCATTGAGGATTCTTTTTTGTCCAAAAGCTGTCAGAGATATTGATGACTTTATTCTTTTAATACAATCAAGTATTTTAATTAATATAACACTGACTTCTCAAAAGTTTTGGAATTAGCTGGATTATTCAGTAATTTATGTTAAAATATAATATTTTAAACTCTTAATACTCTGTTCATTTCTATAGAATGCCATGATGATGTAGTTAAAATTGTGGAAATAGCCTGCAAGCATAATATTTGTATAATACCCTATGGTGGTAAGTAATAAAGCTCTTAACACCTTTAGAAAATAATTGTTTTTAAGACAGGCTCTAAAGAACAATTGAGGCATAATGTCTTAGATATGTCAAATGGAATTGTTTAGTTTTAATAGCAAATACCTTTTGCCATATAATATTTTGCTTACGGAAATCCCCCAACCTTAAATGTGTCTTTTATGTAAATCCCATAAATATTGGGGGGGGGGGTTCTACTTAATCTCATCCCTACTTTATCCCCTCACACATATCCTAATTCCATCCATAGCATTCTCTATTCTGTCAGTGGATGTCATAAATTATAATCCAAGGAACTAACATTAAGGCAAACAAATGAAATATAAATTGATCTGTTTCTCATATCCGTAGGAGGCACAAGCGTTACCAGCGCACTTGAGTGTCCTGCTGATGAAAAAAGAACTATTGTTTCACTTGACACTTCACAAATGGTATGTGTACAAACAGTTTCAAGTGAATTTCACAGAATGTCAAGTCATAAAAATATGTCACTTAGCTTAAGGGTCCCCATTTTGCTTTGAATGTTTTAATCTTTCTGGAATTTACAGTCAGGACCAGAAATATTGAAACAAGGATAACTGTTTTGGCATTTGGCCTCTGTACACCACCACATTGAAGTTGAAATGAAACACACCCAGATGGGAGCAAAGTCAGGACTTTCAGCTGTAATTCAAGGGGTTTTGACAAAAGTGGGGCACTAACCATTCAGGAAGTATAGCCAATATAGATATGAGAGAAAACTCCCTCTGGAACCCTTCTCAAGGTCTTTAATGAAGGCTTCATCAGTTAATTTCAGTTGTTTCTGAAGTGGCAAAAAGCCTTTACTTACATGTGAAGAAACTGTTAAGTACTTTGCTTATAAGGAACACACAAGAGAATCAACTGATTGGCAAATCTTGGATGTGAAGTTGAAAATTGTGATTAAAAGAACACATTAAAAATATGGCAGTACATTTTTTGTGAGACCAGATCTGTAAATTGAGACATCAATGGTAGTTGACAGTGGTATGAAATATAAAATTAGGAGACAGCTTTATCACCTCATTTTATATGCCATCAAATACAGCCTTGGATTTTGTAGAGCTTATGATGTGATAAAGTAAGATCCAGATTGTGGTAAACCAAATGAACCTGATATATGACCCTAACCATCCACATTCTTTAATAGCAATCAGTGACAATGAGGCTACAATTTAGATTTGTACTTTGTCAGCAGTAATAGTGAAAGAATAAGCAATTAAATGGTTTTAGACCCAATTCTACATTTCCAGCATAATTTTGTTGCTGTTTATTTGCGCCAGAGATAATACCAATTCAGCAATAGTTCAGTTTCAAAAAAGCTATCAGGGTTGTTCCCACACCAAGAATGTAGCAAATCAGTATAAAATAAATTAACACCAGGGAGATGCTATGTATAATGTGGTTATGCTTTGTATAACCACAAAGTAGAGCAGAGTTGTTTGAGATCATACAAAGGTTTTCTTAACAGCAACAATAGCTTTAAATACCAGGCCAACATCTTCTAGAGAAGAAGTATATTAGGCACAGTTGAGAAACTTTGTAAAGGCTGACACGGTCATCAGTACAAAAGAGCCATTCTATAGTAGAGGAATAAATGTTGAGGACCCTTGATATTGAGGTACATAGTTTGGGTTAACTTTGTTAAATGGACCAGAGACCTGTGATTGTGGCAAATGGCAGACAGTGCTGTATCTCCTATATTATGCTTTGTTAGGAACAAACTCTTGCAGATCATAGGACCTTGACGTTGCTGAGGCTGACTTATGAGCACTGATGTGTGAAGTGATGGAAAGAATTTTCACCTGGTAAATAGACTCAAGAAATAGTCTGAGATCATGGAAGAGAATATTTGCTTTTGAATAATTTAATTTCACAGTTTTTGATGGGAAGATAAATGTGATATATTCTGTCTCCTAAGATCATATAATTTCATATTATAAGGTCCTTCAAGACCTTGTAATATAAACTTTCAAGGATTTTGTTTTGTTTTGTTTGCTTACATGGTTTTAAAAAACCCTCATATATGTGATTTCATGCATTACTGATAGTTAGCTTGTCACGTTTCTTTGGATGAAATCCAGCATCATAGTAGTGGATTTACATTGTCAAGCAGGATTTTCTCATCCCTCCTGCAGCCACAAATACATTCAGATGCAGTCTAGACAGATTGGGAGGAGGAGGAGAAAACTGATTGTACCAATGGAGTTGGAATTTCTTTGTAAATTGTTGTAAAATACGCTGGTAGGATTGGACTTTTTCCCCACACATCCTTGAGTTGGAAGGAAACAATATTAGCGTGAAATTTGCAGTCCCTATTGTTGATCCCGCTCCTTCTCTGTTGCATTTGTTTGCAGTCATTGCTAATTGTCTGGCTTCCCTCCAAGCTTGTGGGTGACAAAGCCTAGGAGATTTTGCATACCTTGAAGCTGTTTTGGGATGGCTGTCTGAATAAGTGGAAAAATATAACTTTAAGACCGATCTAGCTATTGACTTAAGGCTCTTTCACTAGCAGGCTGTGGATAAGATGAAGGCAGTGTTGTTAGGGACACAGGAAAAAATGCTTTTATCATGTAATTATTGTGTGGTGGTTAAATACTAGCAGAGACACAGCTTTAGTAACCTACATGCTATAGAGCAGGTTGGATCTGACCCCAATTCAGTGTTCAGCATTTGTAATATTACTTTCGTAGATGGATATCAGAGTACAAAATAGGTTAAGGGAGAAACTTACACAAAAAAGTATTTAAAATTAGCACAAGCATGCCATTTTCTTCTTTAAAAACTTGTCTTGAGCAAGATTGAACATAAGAAAGAAAATAATTTTTGCTACTAGAACTTTTTTCACTATTCTGAAGGCCTTGTCTTTGGTATATTGTCACTTTAGAATTATTTTGACACCTGTGGTTAATTGAAGTAAGGTGAAATTTGATTTCGGCATTATCTCATGAATTCCTTAATTCTTAAAAGGATTTATGGACTCTAATATCTGTCACATGTTTTTGTGCCAGACTATAGTACTCTATCCTCATATGTGCAATTGTAGCAATGCAAATAGACAAAATGCATTCATCTTCTTGTCTCTATTGATTTATACTTCATATGGCTATGCAAAACTCGCCCCTTTGAGATGGAACATTCCATTCCTGCAGTGGTGGGTTTTACACATAACTAATGCCTACTGTTGCACTAATTACTGACTTTAACGGTGCTTTGTTAAATAATTAAATATCAGTATTTTTCACAAGTCTTTTGTTTCTTTGTAATAGAACAGGATTCACTGGATAGATGAGAAAAATTTAACTGCTCACGTTGATGCTGGCATTGTTGGCCAAGACTTGGAAAGACAGGTATCATCAACTTACTGCTTTGAGAATGCTGGTCTTTTTATAGCTGTCAAATATACTGCCATATATTGGCTCATAAAATAAATGTATTTGAACAATTATGCATATTATATCCAGGTTAATTGCAGCTGCTATGTTATTAATTTTTCTGTTTATTTTAATCCTAGCAGATATAACATGTATGTTCAAAACTGGCAAAAGGGATTTAAAAAAAAAAAAATCTAGCAGTTAAATTTCCATAGCAGACAACAAAAATAACTAATATGCGTTTTGCAGCCTTTCTGCACAGTCTTTCTTAAAAAATTAAAATTGTCCCCTTAGCCATTTTATTGGTAGGGGTATTATTTATTAAATATATGTACCACCATATCTTCCAATTCATAGCAGTTTATAACAGTAACACAACACACAAAAAGGTTATGTTATTTATTTATTGTTTTAGTTAAATAAAAGCAATATCATTTCCTGTAACTACAGGTGCCCACCAGTGGAGTAACATTAGTTCTCAGTCCTCTACCTCCGTCTCCCCACTGAGCTAACCTCTTATGCACTGCGGAATACTCTATATCCTCAGTCAGGATGAGTTTACTGGATGGGTCAGTACTACCTAAAGGATGTGGTTCTGTAGGTACCTAGGGGCCAAGCCAAATAGATGTTTAAAGATCAAAAACAGCACTTTTGAATTGTACCTGAAAACTTATTGGAAGTCAGTGCAGTGCCTACAATGTAGGTATCATGTGCCTTAATGGCTGTCATCTGCTTGCGGGTAGCTGTATTCTGTGGTCCTAAGTCTTCAAAGGTAACTCCACGTAGAGTCCATTGCAATAGTCTATCCTAAGTAGAGATGACGATATGAGTTACTATCGTCAAGTCCTCTTGCTCCAGAGCTGCAACTGGTGCACCACCCAAACCTGGGCAAAGACATGTGCCCCCCGCCCCCAACCTTTGCAGCCTCCACCTGTACATCCATCAGTTGCCATGAGTCCAGGAAGACACACCTGGTAACATTGAAAGTTGTTATATTCTAACCAATTTTTGAAATGGATTACTGTAATGGAGATACAATAAACCATGTCTCCATTACAAACTGAAATTTGGACACTACTGCAGGATCATATGTCCTACCCTTTCTAAATAAAGTCCTACGTTGCTGTCCCTCTTACAATAGCATGGAATCATTACTGGAAGCTTTATTGGACTGGGAACCCTCTTAAAAAACTGGATGCTTAAAATTATACATGTGGAAATTAATTCAAGTAACATAATCTTAAACCTGGTTCAGGAAATAGCTATCTCTACTGGATTTATGTAGTACAGGGCAACCATTCTATCTAACAACCACTCTATCTTAACAAAATATATTTTTTAAAATCCACTTTTTGTCATTGACCAGAATCAGCAATGTAACTATCTTTTTGGAATCTTTCTATCTTCTTCCATTTAGCCCCAGAATAAGCTATCATCTTGAGGAGAATTATGTAGTCAAGTAATTAAATATGGGTATTAACCAGAAGGCTTATTAAAAGAACAAAAGGCTCCTAATAAGATAAAATGTTTAACACCTTTGTAGTAGTAATGAATTCCGTTTTAAATAATGCGCACGTGCACACACGCACATGTTTATTACAGCCCTAAGGCTAGATACAATCAAAATATATAATAGTAACCATCTTACATTTATGTATATATATAAAACAAAA